AAATTCTTGCTGTAAAAAAAAGACCTAAAATAAATGGGAAAATGTGCCCTATTCAGTGCCATTGATTTGTTCATCAGTCACAGTGACCCTGTGTATAACAGCTCTGAATCCTGCTCTATCCTGAGCCAAACTTATTGTCTCTGACACACCTACTTCCATTACCCCATTACACTGAGTCAATCCATCTCATCATGCGTCTTCCTCCCATGTGCTGACCCTCCACCCTCCCAAGCATGATGTCCTTTCCAAGGACTGGTTCCTCCTTGCAACATGCCCAAAGTAAGTCAGATGAAGCTTCAGAATCCTTGCATTCAAGGTGCAGCCTGGTTTCACCCTCTCTAGGATGAACTGGTTTGTTCTCCTAGCAGTCTATGATATATTCAGTACTTTACTCCAGCACCACAGCTCAAAGAGATCAATTCCCCTATCATTCCTGGTCATTGTCAAGCTTTCTAATGCATAGCAAGTAATTGCAATGACCATGGCATGGATCAGGTTCACCCTAGTCTCCAGACTGATATTGTTGCTCTTCAGTTCTCTGGAGATGTCAGTGACAGCACACTTTCCCAATGCAATTCATCTTTCTATTTTCTGTGGCACTAAGAGTGTTAATTGTGGAATCAAATAAACTGAAGCTGTTAACAATCTCAATCTCTTCACCATCTATCATGATGCTGCCAGTCTGCCCAGTGGTGAGAATCTTTGTTTTCTTGATGTTGAGCTTCAATCTACACGGAAAATTACAGCCCTTAATCTTCTACAGCAAATATTTCAGGTCTTCCTCTGTTTCAGCAAGCAAGGTTGTGTCATCTGCAAAATGTAGGTTGTTGATGAGTCTTCCTCTAATTCTGATGCCACATTCTTCCTCATAGAGCCTAGCCTCCCAGATGATCTGTTCTGCATACAGCTTGAAAGCATATGGAGACAGGACATTCCTGGTGTATACCCTTCACGACTCAATCTTGTGAAAATGAAAATCCTACCAAAAGCAATCTACATTTTCAATGCAACCCAAACACTGATAAAATAATCATTTTCAAGTAGATCAAATGGAAATTGTCAAGTTTATGTGGAGAGGAAAGAGACCTTGAATAAGCAAAGTACTTCTGACAAACAAAAATGAAGTGGAGGTATTGCACTCCCTGCTACACAGGGAGGTATTGCAAAACATTCTACACAGTGGTAATAACCAGAACAACATGATACTGGTACAATGACAGACACATAGACCAATGGAGAATAATTGAGAACTCATATATTAACTCATCTATCTAAGATCAACTGATATTCAAAAAGGAAATAAAAGCTACCAAATGGGGAAATGACAACCTCTTCAACTGGTAAAACCAGGCAGGTACCTGCAAAAAGCTGAAACAGGATAGACATCTGACACCATTTAAAAAAATCAACTTAAGGTGAATCAGAGACCTCGGAGTAAAGTCCCAAACCATAAAATACATAAGATATAAACTGAACTGAAGCTTAGATGGCCTAGTCTATGGTATAAAGAGACTGCCAAATACAACCAAAAATGAACAATCTGCCAAGGATAAAATTGATAAATGGATTTTTCTAAAGATTAAATCTCTGTGCTCATCAAAAACTTTTTCAAACAGGATGAAAAGAAACCCTACCAATTGGGAATAAAGAATTGGCAATAGCATCTCAGACAAGGTTCTCGTAACAAAAGTTTACAGACTACTCCTGGGCCTTCAGAAGAAAGAGACTGATAATCCAACTACAAAATGGGCAAAAGACATGGAAAGACCTTTCACAGAAGACATTCAGGTGGCAAACGGACTCATGATGAAGTGCTCCAGATCACTGGCAACAAGAGAGATGCAGATCAAAACCACAATGAGATACCATCTCACTACTGTAGCAGTGGAAAATTTTTTTAACAGGACAGCAAGTAATGCATGTTGGAGAGAATGTGTTGAGTTAGGAACTTTTATACATTGTTGGTAGGTTTGTATAATGGTACAACCACTCTGGAAGACAGTTTAGCATTTCCTTAAAAAGTTGAACATAGAAACTCCGTGTGACTTAGCTCTTTCATTACTAGGAATATACACCAAGAAAATTAGAACTGAGACACAAATGGCAATTTGTACACCAATATTCATAGCAGCCTTTTCCACCATTACAAGAAATAGCCCAAATACCCAATCACAACTGAATAGATTGAGAAATTGTGGTATGTTTACACGATGGAATACTATGCAGGACTCAGTTGCAACAATTTCGAAAAATATTACATGACTTGATAGAGGCTGGAAAGCATTATGCTGATTAAACTAACACAGTTGGTGCGTGAAAAGAGGGGGTAAGTTATCAGGAAGAGCCTTGACGAAAAGACAGTATAATGATGGGCAAAGTCCAATGGTGATCAATATTATCAAACATAATGCATGAGAATGATTCTAAGAAACAAAATGTGAATAAAGGATAGTGTGAAACGCAATGTATATGAACTTTGTAAGCAACACAATAAAAATTATAAAATAATAAAAATTCTAAAAAAGGGGTATTTGCAATGAATAAATTGTTGATTGTACAAAATTTTATCTTTCTATCTCTAGCCTCATTTCTGTCACCAGGTAGATGTTTTCTGACTACTACTGATCCTTATTCCCTCTTCCCAGCTTTTGTTTTCCATTCATTCATCATTATTAATGCAACTTGGTTGTATATTCTATATATCTGACAGTAAAACTTGGTAAAAATCATCTGTTTCCTTCTCCTCGGCTCTGTCTGTTGGTTCATATATTTGAATGATAGTAGTATTAATAGGTCTGAGAAAGGCTATTCATTGGAGAAGGACATCATGCTTGGTTGGAAAGGTGGAGGGACAGCGAAGGATAAGACCCTCAACAAGGTGGATTGACACCGTGACTATAGTAATGAGCTTAAGTGTTAGACATTGTGAGGCTGGCATAGGGTAGCACAGGGTTCAGATCTACTGCTATAAATTGTACTCAAGTGACAACACTCAGCTATAACAGGAAGTATCAGTATTAAAAGAAACATCTTTAGCAAGGTTGGTGTGGTTTGTTCACTTAGAGGAACAAGCAGCAACATGAATTTAATAAGGTGGTGGTGGTGGTGGTGGTGGTGGTTGTTATTAGGTGCTATTGACTAGAGTACGAATCATAGCCACCCTATGAACATAGATCTAATCCCTTATCCTCATAACTTTTTACATATTTGAACCCATTCAACAGGATAAAACTTTGAAAATATAAGTGATATAATCAACATTACTCTGAGTGTGTCAGTTGAGTTTAAGAGATCTGAGCATGAGAAACTGGTCCTGTCAGATGAAAATTGAGATTTCCCTCAGAAAGAGGTATCTTGGTGAGTATTAAGGAGTTATCATTGACTTAAGTTCAGTGTGGATATTCAATCTTTAGGCAGAAGTGGAAGATCAAGTACAGAAATTGAGTAGAAACCATAACAGAAACTTAGATCTAGGCTTAGCGTTAGCATACATATTCAGGGTACTTGATCTCAATGTTGACAAAAAAAATATGAAAGAGATGGTGAACAGTGTAGCACATGAAATCCAGGAATTATGGCTAGATTGCCTAAACAGAGCCTGGGTAGAAAGCATAATAATTTTCTTTGCTCATAATTGGTTTATGATAAAGACAACATGAGACATTTAAATGGGTCCTATCATAAGCCCTTCAGGAAGACCCTCAACCAGGTGTATTAACATAGTAACTGCTGCAATGGGCCCTAGTGTGTCAGGAAATGTGAAGATGGCACAGGATAGAGGCAAGGTTAAGATATATATTTCGTAGTGTCATGACACCAACAACAAACACATACCCTGAAAGTGGAGCAATGTTTGAGCTTTCAGTTACTTACAGAAATGTTGACTGAACTTACTTAGCGTCTACATGGAAAACACCCAGGCAGGTTACTTCTGTAAATATTGTTATTGTCATTATGTATGCAAAGTATTGTTGACTAATAACTGCACCGTGTACAAAACAACAATAAAATTCTGACTGGTTGTGTGTCATCTTGAAACTGTTTCTGTGCTTGAGACTATTGTTGAAGCCACTATGCCAATCTATCTAATTGAGGCTCTTTCTCTTTTTCACTAGTCCTCTGCTTTACCAAGGATGATGTCCTTTTCCAGATACTGATCCCTTGTAATAACATGTTTAATGTATATGAGACAACATCTAGCAGTCATCACTTCTAAGAATTCTGGCTATACTGCCAAACTAAATATTAAAAATCTAGCCTTAAAAACCCTATGGGACAATCTTCTGTCACATTGCAATGTAATAAATAAGAAGTGACTCAACTACATCTAATATCAATATCAACATCAACATCAGGAGATGTTACAGTATAATTGTTACTGTTGTTGTTATGTGCCGTCGAGTCACCTACGACTCTTAGTAACCCTATGTACAACAGTCCTGAACCCTGCTCTATCCTGTGCCAATCTTATTGTCTCTGACACACCTACCCTCATTAACCCAGTGATTGCAAAGACCATGCCCTGTATCAAGTGTATCTTAGTCTCCAGACTGACATCATCGCTCTTCAGTACTTTGAAGAGATCTCTGACAGCAAACTTTCCCAATGCAATATGTCTTCTAACTTGACAGTATAATTAGAGAAATGAAATTGAACCTGACACGGAGATCAGGGAAAGCCTTCACATCAATTTTTGGCTCTGCTCTCAATTCCCTGTATAAACTTGATCTGATCATTTATACCTTTCTGAGTTACAGTTTCCTCACCTGTAAAATAGAGACAATAACTCTTTCTTTATAATACTGTAGAAGGTTGTGTGATTACAATAGCAAGGTAATAAATTATAAAGTGCTTTTTGTGTAAAACAAAAAGAGATTATTTTTATTGTTGCAGAAACATGGGTTCTTTTTTTCTTTTTACCTTTTACTTCCCCTAAGTCTGTTTCTGTTTTCTCTCAAGAGCTGTTTTCATTCTAATTGCCTCTTTTTCTCATTATCCAGGACCAGTGATCCGGGCTGAAGTGGGTGACATCATCCAGGTAGTCTTCTACAATCGTGCCTCTCGGCCATTCAGCATTCAGCCCCATGGGGTCTTTTATGAAAAAGACTACGAGGGAACTGTGTACAATGATGGTGAGAAGGCAATTTCCAACAAATATGGGTGTCTCTAAAAGGCAAATAAATGGGAAAGAGAAAGCAAGGTGGAGAAAAAAATTAGTGACCATGAGTGAGCATTGTTGAATTAATAAATGCTAAGGTACTGGACACAAGAGCAATGGTGTCTCTCTGGAGACTAACATGCACCTGATACAGGCCATGGTCTTTGCGAGCTGGAGAAGAGTATAGAATGTACCCTGAACTACCAGGAAAACAAACAGATTCATCCTAGAGAGGGTTAAACCAGGCGACTCCTTGGAGGCAAGGATTCTGGGGCTTCGTGTGACATACTTTGTTTGGACATGTTGTAAGGAGAGACAGGTCCTTGGAGAGGGACATCATGCTTGG